ATTAGTTTTTCCATCAATGAAGTAAGAATTAAAAAATGATCATTAACATGTTACAACTCTGTGAGTATACCTAGTACTACTTCCCTTCAACTCATTAAAAAAAAATAAGAAAATATTATCCTAAGAAGAAAGATTACACATTCTCCTCCTTGGCCCATTCTTGGTTAACTGAACACCTCCAGTACTTTCAGAAGCCAAGAGGGAAGCATTTTTCTGGGGCAGTGTTCTTCACTGTACAAAGTATTTTTCAAACAGACTTTAATTTGTTCCCATGATTTGATAGATATCCCCCAAACTCCAGCTGATAGCGTAAGAGTCTCATTTCTTTCAAATCAATGAAACTGGTTCCTTCTGTCGTCGTTTCTCTGTGATATCAACTTGGATATTACATTTCCTTCAAAGTTGTTCCTCATTGCTTTCAAACACTGGATTGCTGTAAGACACCCCACTACCACACCCCTGCATGTCAGAGTAGGAAGTTTGGTTTAGCGGGGGCCAACTAGGGTCATTTGCCAAGTCCCTCTGCCATATCCGATACTGGCTTTTTGATTGATAGCCAAAAGACCTTTTGATTATCATCCATAGGGCTCGGTTTTCAATCATGGCCTCCTGCAAAATAAAAGAGTTAATTTTCACAATCAGAGTTCAAGTGTTCTGAGGCTACAGCCCTCCACAGACCATAATACGGCACTACTGCAATGTCTGGTTAGATTCAACTTGACGAGGAACTTGAGCCCTGGATAAATCTAAGGTGATTTCATGAGATAGGTCTCGCCTTCTCAAACTTTTCTACTTATTCTCTGGGAAAAGAAAGAGGTATATAGTTTCAAGAATCTGGGACTATAGCTTGAAGTGGCCTGCGTCAAAGATGAAGTTTCTTTTGAATCTTATATCTAAATTAAACTTAAAATCATTCAAATTCTATATTCCACTTTATTTCCCATTCATAGCTGATTTAATATAAAATGACATTTAAAATTACTTAACAACAAATATAATTGACCCTACAGGAAGATGTGCCACGCGTGTGTGTCCTCAGTACATCCTGGTACATCACTGCACAGTCATGAACACAGGTCAGTGAAACTGGAAGATAGGCCACAGTCCTGGAGTTGGACGGATCTGGATTCAAGTCCCAGCTCTGACACCTACTATGGGCAA